TGGCTGTAATACACGTTTTGCTCTCCAGGTGCTGGTCTCTGCACCATGTGCTCAGGTGGGATTTTTCAGAAGTGCTTCTTGTTTGACTTCAGTCAGGTTTCCATCAAGGTAGGGTGAGGGTATGGCCAAAACCTGCCTATGAGACAGCACTTCTGCTTAATTAGCAGGAGGGGTCACTCTTGAGTTTGTGGAAGGTGGTTTTCTGGGTGGGGATGAGCGTGGTTGGTCTCAGGAGCAATTAAGAGGGTTACTCCCTGTTGCAACCCTTTGCTGTTATACTGGTGCAACATTATTTTGAATCCAAGTTAAAATTGGCATAAATATTATAACTTATTTTGCTTTACAGCTTTGGTGAAATGCTGAAGAGAGTAAGCATTTCAGGGCTGAAAATCAGACTAGTAACTGCTTAATTCATAATGTTTATTGGAACAAGTAGGTCAATTAGAGGTGAGTTTATCTGTCAACATAAAAGAGATTTCAACATAAGATACAGTGTGTTTCCACTCTTGATTTCTGGGATTCTTCCCCCCCTCAAGTTTGAAGTGCACTCAGTTGCCCAATGATGCAGCAAAGAATCTTATTTTTGTTTCTGTTTTCTCCTAAATCAAGTTCCGAGTGTATCAGAAGAGGTGAAAGAATAGTTTAAAACCTTTTGGGCTTTATGGAAAATGAGTGTAAGGTATGAAGAGCAAGGGGAGATGGAAAGTAGGATGGATTTTTCTGGGACATTTATTATTCAGCTTAAGCAGAAATATGCCTGTTTAAGGTGAAAGGTCAGCAAGAATTAGTTTAATACTTAAAGTGTAAAATGAAATTAGACACATGGATGAATAGGAGATACGCATGAAAACTACATGTGATCATGAATAGTTTTATGACCGAGAACCGGATATACAGGGGTAATGGAAGGACAGATTCATCAGGCAACCAGTAAAGCCACAGCATCATTTGAATGTCAAGCAAAAAGAGATGGTGTCCCTGTCCCATCGGTGTGTCTTCCATGGTGCTATTAGTCTTCCTTGTCTGTGCTGCATGAAGCCAAAGGTTAGTGTCCTGTGCTCCATTTTGTACTTAACATACTTAACACGTGTCAACACGGGTGTTTGTTTAGTTGTCATTAACTGGGGATTTCACTGACTATAGCCCCGCAAGTTTTGTGTGGGAGGTTGTCTCTCTCTCATCAGTAGTGGCTGAGTCAACAGATGCTGAAGTGCTTTGGTGTTTTCTGCTCATCTCTATTTTCTGGAAGGCTCTTGCAGTGGTAGTCTGTACTTTATGCATTTTCTTTCATTATTAATTTGCCTGAAGACTGTTTCATTTGCATATAGCTTTATTGTAGGTCTCCAAGGATTTGTGATCTGAATTCTCCTGTATTTTACTAGCACTGTAGTGCCATATGGGACTTAACTGAGCCTCTGAAGGTCTCATCATCTTGTTAATTATTTTTATAATTTGAAGTTATTAAACCATGGTATATAAGAAAGTAATTTAGAATTTGAACACTGTAATGTATTCTTGCTCTTCACTTTACTTCTTTTTTTTGCCTATGGAAATGGGTGAGAGTGTTTTAAAAAAGAGGGATGTGGGAGGAGAAGGTATGAACCAGAGGTGAAAATTAGTATTTAATTCCCCTATTCCTACTTATGTTTTTAGGACAGTGAATAAACAAGTCATTTTGGTAGGAAATGGGATCCAACTCCCTGGAGAGCAAGGCAGTAGAAAACCTCCAAATATTTTTAACATTTAAGAAAAATTATCTTGCCAGATTAGAAATATAGGAGGAATATGCTAAATATAAAAGCTTTGTTTTTCTGTTATTAGCAGCTGAATTTTCAGTGGTCTTTCTTCACTGCCCTGTCTCTGCATTAGCATTTTTAATTCAGCACTGCTGCCTGTGAAAGCAGCAGAAAGACTGACAGGTTAGCCTGGTTAATATATATTAAACACTGCTGCCTAAGTCTAGTCTGAGCAGGTTGGACATAATGATTAAAATTGCAGCATTAATTGGTAAGGTCTTGCAGAATCTAATGTTTTGTTCACACTTGAAACTAAACAGAAATCCCAGGATTTCTGGCTGAGCTGGATGGTGGAGCTGGACTCAGCCTTTCTGTTTGTGACAAGTGCTTCCCAGAGATGGGCAGTACAGCAACCTGAGTGAGTGTTGTCTGACTGCAGGCAGCCCGAGACTGTAACCATGGGAAGAGGGGGGACACCCCTTTATTTCAGTAGATACAGAAGCCCCTTGGTGGCAAATTAAGCTCCCATCCATCATTGGATCCGACCAAGCTTTGGGTTCAACTCTTCTGCGCTAGATGGAAACACTCTTGCAAGAGGAAGGAGTATCTTACAGAGCTGATCCTCAAAAGCCACGTGAATAACACTTTCTTTATTGCTCAATAGTTGGTTATGTGGTTTAGAAATGTGAAGAAGGCTTTTTTTTTTTTTTTTTTTTTTTTTTAATAGCTAACTTCTTCCTGAAATACTTTGCATTGCTGGGGAATGTGACTTCAGGAGAACAGTTGAGAAGTGAGGGGATTTGTCAGCTTAAAGTAACAGTTAAAATGAGGAAAAGCAAATAGGCAGCACTATTTCCATTTTAAGCATTGTCAGTGTAACAAGCATGCAGCTGAGTTTCAGAAAGAATGCATGAATGTGAGTTTATTTGGGCAGTGGTAAAAATACCAGGAGAGAATTAATGGGAACAGAAATTAAGTTAGAAACACACTTTGCCTTAGGGATAAAATTTTCAAAGCATTCTGGGTACTTGGATGTCCAATTCCCATTCAAACTAAGGACTAAAGTTCTTCTTTCCTCCTTGGAGCTTTAATTTTTGTGTGTCTGCTCAAGAATGTGTTAACCTCTGACCGAATATGAAGATGCTGTTTGTTTCAAGCAGCTTGCAGCAGAAGCTCTGCTTTCCCACCCACGTGAAGTCAGGTGGGTCAGCTCGTACATTTGAACTCCTCCATCGCTTGGGGAAGGTGTGAAGTGTTTGTACTGGCACACGTTGCTGATGTTGAGAAGCTGGTGGAATCTGATGAAGAGGAATAAGTTACAGCTCCATGAGTAGTTTAATTATGTGCACATCTTGATTGTCAATCAAGTCTATGCTTTTTAATAAGCTGTTGATATAACAATGAGTAAGTACAGAGACTTGAAAATGGGAGAACATGAGATCTGGCAGGTTGGAAGGCCAAAGGACATAGATAATAACGTGAATTCTATGGCAGGAGCCTGCTGAGTTAAACAGTTCATTATCAGTGCAGTATTTTGCTCAAGAGTGTTCTTATGTGTAAACCAGTCTCTGAGTCAGAGGAAAGTAGTGAATGCTTCTAGAAAATGTTTTGGTGTTTCTTTTTCAGAGAAAACAGGTGCAGAGTGACCTTTTGTTTCCCCACTCGCTGTGGTCTGGTGGGAGCATTCTCACTGAACACTGTGTCATGCTTCTTGTCTTGTTTTCTTGCTTTTCTTGAAGAATGCTAAAGCCTTGTGGAATTCATTGTTTCCCAATGTTATCCCTAACTGGAAGGGTGAGGAGGCTGCAAAAACAGATGTGAAGATGTACACTGAAATCAAAAGCTGAAAGAGCAGCTCATGGAGATACCTGAGCCAACTTGCAGCTGATGACTGGACCTGCACAGCTGTAGTGGCACACTTCATCTGCTCAGTGGTGGGCTTTGTGCTGAAACCGTGTCCTGCTCTGATAAGACTGCTCCTGCTTGTAAAGCCAAGTTCTTTCAGAGCAGAAACAGATAAATCCTCACAAGCTGCACTCCTGCTTCTTTTTGTAAGGTAGATGCTTCCCAGACACCAGCATCTTGCTGGCTTTCACTGTGACACTGATACCTCAATCTCTGTGTTTGAAAACCTCCTTCGAGTTTTACTGGTTGAATACGAGGAACTTTTTCTGCCCAGTGCTACAAGTGCTTCAGTTAACCAAAATACTAGCTAATTTCCTGACAGCATTGGCCTCTTCATGAGATATTTTTTGCTGGGATTAATTACTATGGAGAGTTTGTTTTAAGCTCTAAAATTATTCTGGAGTTCAGTGAAAACTGAAACGAAACATAGTACTGGAGTTTGGGAGTCTTCTGAAGAGCTTACTTTCCTAGCAGTCAGCTTCTGGGAAATGAGAAGAAATTTTCTGGGAAAGCAGTCTATTGTGGAGAAAGGTGAAAATATGATTGTTAGGGATATTAAAACTAGACCAAATTTGCTAGTGAATACTTGAGATTTTTTTTAAATTTCAGATTCCATGTGATAATGTGTTTTTGTAATAAACTTTATTTAAAAAAAAAAAAAATTTAGTATTTCTAATCTTTTAAATGTTGATTGTTTGAAGGGATAGCATTGTTGATAAACAACTCTCAAAAATCACCTTTTTTGAAGACTTTTTTGCACTGATTGCTTGCATCCCTGGACTTTGGGATTCCATGAATTCCAGGGTATGCTCTTTGACCAAAGTGTTCTGTGTGTCATCCCTGCGATTCGTCAGCTTTAACACAGAGCCTTTGCCTACCTTCAGCTTCCTGAGCAGATCCATGAAGCAAGGAGGACGTGTCAGTGTTGGGTCCCTCTCACTGCACTGCCTTTCTGTTGGAATCTCGCACTCAGCAAGTGATGGTGTTGCCAATTTTGCTGCCTTTTTTCATCCTTAAGGAACCCAGGATAGACAGTGGAATACCTGACCCCAGTGTAACATGCTGCTGTGGGACCTTGGCTGCTTAGTGAAATGGCACTTGGGCCAAAACTCTTCCATACCCAGAGGATGACAGAAACTCTTCTCTTTAGCAAAGTGTGGAGGGAGCTGAATGTCACCTTGCCTTGCTTCTTCATAGTGGAGGTCAGTGCTCGTAGCTTATCTGGTTGAGGTTCTTCTGGTTACAGCTCAGCACAGGACAAGTGCCTCTGCTCGCTTTATAAATAGAAAATCAGCATCTTCATGCAGCTGGTCTGTCTGACAGCTGCAGCACAGCGTGTTCACCTTTGCACTGCACATCATGGAGCTTTCTTTTGGCAAATTTGATGTCATGAGGTCGCTGAAACAGTCCAGCAGATCCATCTATGGGATAACGGACCAGTCTGAGGCAGCTACCTGGAGCCATTTTCAGGTTTTTATTCAGACTCTGTTCTAACTGGTGCTCTGAGAATGGAGTCAGGATGGTGATGGAAGAGGTTTGGACAAGCCACCACCAAGATTGCCTTTCCAGGGTGACCTGTTCTGTCTTTCTGTGCAGTCTGAATCCCCTCAAAGGGCAGTATCTCCTTGAAAGGTGTTCTTTCCGATGGGAAACCGTGACTTTTTCCCTTTGGATAGGGTTACAGGAGGATACTAAGTTAGTTTCTTGCTACTAGTACAGTATATCTGATAAGGGTGGTTTAATTTGCTTTGAGGGATTAGGGAGTGGATTTCCTTTCCTGAGATTTCCCTTCTCAAATTTGGGAGTGTATGTGAATGCATGTAAACTTGTGGTAATGGACTGCCTCATGGGATATTTATTTTATATACATGCCTTTATGTTAAATAATGTAAATAGTGGAAGAGCAGGGTGTAGGATAAGACATCTTTATCAGAAAAAATAGGTGATGTTTGTGCTACTTTCTTGATGCCAGCATAATCTGAGAGATGGAGAGGTGTTATATTTGAAAGAGCAGAAGGTGCCTGGTTGTGCTGGCATCATACTGCAGACAGCACATGGTGTTTGATCTGAGCCCTTTGGTGGGGGGAGAGGACTGTGATGTTACCCCTGTCATCTTTGTATTCTCCCCAGCTGTGCAATTATCCAAAATAAGGATTTGTCTATATGCAAATATGTACTGGCTTAGTGCACACCTTCCCTTTCTGCAGAATGCATACATCCTCTTTTTGAGTGAGTGATGTTACATTGGTTTAAAGGTGATTTATATTGTTGGAAGTCAGACTTTTATTCTATGTAGTTTGATTTTATTTTTTTTTTTCCCCCCATTAGCTTTAACTACTTTTTCATAGTTCCTGGAGCACAAGGCTTAGAAGTTCTTTACTGTTTTTGTAACTTTATACTGTTGCCCTTTTGCTCTTCCTCCCCCAGTGCCTCTTTAATTGACTAATACTGACATAATTTAAACTGAAGGCTGGTCTAGTTTGGCTGAATTGGTTTAAAATAGAACCTTATGCTAAACCAGAGCAGATCTGCAGATACACAAACCCAATCTGCTCTATTCCATGCATTTTACCTGCTGTTTTAACTTGCTTCTTGCTGGGGTTTTGCAAATTTCCCCCTCTAACGTGGTTCTAACAGTTTTGTTAGCAAGTAGCAGCCTCTGCGTACGTGACTGTTTTGTTCAGTGCTGGAGGAATCTCTCCTGATACCGATCTACTTACTGACAGAGCCTTTGCCTGAAAGCAACATTCATACACTAAGCTTTGTAGTAGTTTTCTGTTATTTTTCTGCTCCGTGCAACTAAGGAAGTGGGCTTGTGTTGCTTTGCTCATGTTCAGTGATATCTCCACAGGCTGAAAGTCCCAAGACCAAATCTTTGGCAGATAAAGAGACATCGCTTCTGTCAGAAGCTTTAAGTGTGGCAGCTAAACATCTGACCCAAATCTATTGCTGTGTACAATTTTTGGGGGGAAAAAGTTTTAAATGTAACCTTTGTACTGCAGATGTACGAACTTATTCTCTATTTTCCTTGTAAACCATAATAGAACCTGATGCCAAGTAAGTCAGGCTGATCTTAAGACCTTGTTTATGCTGTTTCTGTAAGGATAAATATTCAGTGTATAACAATTCAAAAATATTTTTCAAGTCTTATAGAAACATTAATTTCTGAAGTGCTATGTGGAATGGATGATTATGGAATTTGAGTGTTGTTGAAGTAACCAAGTTTTAAAAAAAAATAAGATAATTTTAGGTTAAATCTGCAGATAGTAATAAGATGGCTTGGATAATTAATTTGGATTTAGAGTTGCTTAATTTCTCTTGGCATTTGTAAATCCCAAACTGACTTGTGGAATGTTCTTGATTGAAAAAGATTTTATTGAAAACATGTGTGACTGTTTTTGAGGGCAACAATATTTGAACAACAAAATAGCATCTGCATATAAATGGAGGTAGGCAAGAAAACTTTTACTGTAAACATAACTAATGTATTTTTTTTGTGGCATCATTTTTTAGCCTGTGTTCTGTTTAGACTAAAACAGGCTGTAGGGGAAGTAAATTCTGCTCTGTAAAAAGCTTGTTAGCTGTTCTAAATGATAGTTTAAATTCACAAAGATCAGAATTATTAATTAGGAGTAGACCTCAAATTCATGGAACTTCTACTAACTCTTAAGAGTAAAATAAAATACTGGCAAGAGTATCTATTTCTTATCCTTTGTCTGAGTATATCTGTAGTATTAGAAGATTGTATTCAGTAGAATTGTCAGGATTTCTGAAATTAAACTGATTCAGCAATGAGAAATGAGGAATGTTACTGGTCTCATGTTAATATACATATTTCTGTTGATTAAAAACCTGTCACTACAAAAATATTTAACTGTGGTAATGGAAAATATTAATAACACTTTATGGTGGTATGCACTTTGGAAATTATTTTTAGTTATCTCTATATTCAATGAGAAATCTTTTGATTCATTGCAGGACCAGTTTGACAACTTGGAAAAACACACGCAATGGGGTATTGATGTTCTGGAAAAATACATCAAGTTTGTAAAAGAAAGAACAGAGATTGAACTCAGCTATGCAAAGCAGCTTAGGTAAGTTGATATGTAAAGTTCTGGACTTAAGAGTTGCGTCCATTCAGAGCCTGTAATCATCTGCAAGTTTACTGTTTCAGTGGTGGTAATTTGTTTGATTTATAATAATGGCTTTTAGAGAATAGCTTTAATTTAGAGAATGGAAAGCTAAAAGTTAATTTAAGAGACTGTTTTATTATCTCTGCTAAAAATCATATGCTTGGCAAAAAAAAAAAAAGTTATTTAGGTGACTGAGTGGCATACATACTAGGGCTTACTCACAATTTATGCATGATTAATGGCTCAGGCTTTGAGGATATCATTGTAATGTTTTCCATAAAATTAAGACTGCACGTAAATGCTGAAGGGTTTAAGAATTTAGCAGAATAATGCTCGTTTGTTGTAAGGCAAAGTTTAGGGTTTCTTTTCATAAGCCAGACTCTTTATGAATGCATGTTGGAGAAACTGCAGGTCAGAAAGTCAGTCTCAGCCCTTGGAAATTTTGTTTATGTAGTTATCTAGGTCCCAGCCTGAGATTTGAATTTTGACAGTTTTATAATCTTGCCACTGTTTTTGTGATGTCTCCTGAACATGGAAGACATCCTGTGA